CATCATTTTACACTTGGTAACTCAGAAGGGCACCTAGAGCCAACCCTACCAGTAATAATCCCACTTCATTCATCTGAAACCCACTCTGTGTGTTTTATTGTAGCGTGTGAGTTCACCTGTGCGAACACAAAGTGCATCTTCAGGAACCAAACGTGTGACGGAGTCGACGACTGCGGCGACCGGAGCGATGAGATGTGCTGCAGAAGTACACAAAACAGCAAACAGAACAAAGTGTAGCTGATGTTTCTGAGTATTGTCTGAATATTTACAGTACACACGGCTGTTTGTCAGAATGCAGGAATGGAGCGTTTCGCTGTGAGACGGGTGTTTGTTTGCATAAAGACGCTGTTGGTGACAAACAGATCGACTGTGTGAATGGAGCAGATGAAGCAACAAAACACACAACAAGCTGTGAGTCATCAGTGAATTTAAATATTACCTGATTAAAGACCTGAAAAAAAAAAACTTTATGAACTCAAACTACCTCTGTTTTTCTGTTTTAACTGATTCAGATAATGTAAGCTCGACTCAAACACCTTCAGGTAAAAGATTCATGAAAATTAATGTTTCWAAATAAAACTAAATCAAACTGATGTTTGTGGTGATTTGTTGCCTCTTCTTCTTTCAGATTACGTCTCTCGTAAAAACGGTACGTACCCTTTATCAGAGATTTTTTAGACCCAGTCCTGCACGTATCCTCGTGCAGGGGTTATGTATCCTCTCTGGGTTGGTTCTGGTCTCCTTGGGGTCCCACAGCGGGGGGTCCAGGTTTCTGTCCTGGACCTGCTGCCAGTTGTTGGACCACATTTAGAAGAACATTTTTAATTTTTCTCCAGAAACCAGGAGCAACAGAGAGATGCTGGAGAGCAAGCTGTTCTGTGGGATCCCCAACGAGGACCTGGTGGACGATGTGGAGGTGGATGAACGAGGACGGTCCAGTCGGAGGAAGAGGGTGGTGGGAGGACTCCCAGCGAAACCTGTGGGTCTGAGTTAACCCTTTCACTGATGATGAAATTGTTAGGTTAGGAGCTAAATACTGTTTTCTCCTGTGGGTCTGCAGACTCAGATCCAGTGGCAGATCGCTCTGGAGGAGAACAGAAGGATCGACTGTGGAGGAGCGTACATCGGAGGCTGCTGGGTGCTCACCGCCGCTCACTGTGTCAGGTGGGACAGAGAGACCGGATCAGAGACGAGACAAACTCAAACTGATGAAAACATCAAAACAGGAAAGTCTGTTTTTTATTTCCTGTCAGGGAGAACCCCTCCGCCTTCAAGGTCAAGTTCTCTCTCTGGAAGAAGCATCGAGCTCAGGGAACGACAGACATTGTTCCTGTACAGGACATCCACATCCATCCAAAGTCAGAGTCCAGCTGAGAACTGTCTCAAGATTTAAACCCTAACTTTGAATTAAACTGTCCTAAAAGAGTCCACCTGTCTCTYCAGCTACGTCCCCACCACCTACGAGAACGACATCGCTCTCATAAAGCTCCAGAAGCTTCCCTTCTCAGAGAAATGCTTCGTCGACAACCCGGCCATCAGAGCTGTTTGTGTCCCCTGGTCCACTCAGCTGTTCCAGCCCAACCACACCTGCAGCATCTCAGGCTGGGGCCGCACCGCAGGTACGAGCACGGTTTAAAATAAGGATTTTACTGCTCTCTGTCAGGCCTGATGTTCCCTGCTCTTTGTTTTATCAGATACATTTTGATTTAGTTATTTCTCTCTGACAGAAAAACTCCTCGGTGAGTCAGAGTGTTGGTGTGTTCATGAATCACTCAGGAGTTTGAATTAAAACCTGTTTTTCTCAGATGGGAAGGCTGCTCAGGTGCTGCTGTGGGCCAACGTTTCCCTCATCGCAGGCTGTGAGTCCTCCTACGCAGATCGKTTTAAACCAGGGATGATGTGTGCAGGTGGGTTACACAAAAACACAACAACAACACAATGGTCTTTCTAACTACAGGCCTATAGTCCAAGGATTTAGAAAAGGTTGTTTTTATTCAACTTCAGTCCTTTTTAGATTCTCGTGGTGTTTGCGGAGAGTTCCACTCAGGTTTTAAATCCTGTCATGTTCTGAGACAGCACTCTGTGTTTTTAGTGATCTTCTTTTAACTGTTGATCCAGGCTGGTTCTGTTGTTTTAGTTCTCTGCTGCCTTTGACGTTGTTGATCACATCCTTTTATCTAGACTTGAACATGTTGTTGGTCTTAAAGGCTCAGTTTTAACATGGTTTGAGTCTTATTTGGCAGATGGGTCATTTTCCTTTTCCATGGGGGAATAGTCTTCTTCAACTGATTTGCTGTGGTGTATCTCAAGGCTTTGTACTCGGAGCTATTCTTTCTTTGCTTGTACATGCTGCCAATGGGATCATTGTTACGCTGATGATGTTCAAGTTTATTATCCTTTTGATTCAGATGTCTCTACCCCACTGCAAACTCGTTAGAGTTGTCTCCAGGATGTCAAAGACTGGTAATCCCAGGACTGTCTGATCTTGAATGAAGACAAAACTGAAGTTATTTTATTTGGTAATCTTTCTCCTTTTGGTGGTTTTCCTGGGATTCTTGGCCCACTCGCTCCTTATTGTTCCTCTGTGGTCAAGAATCTTGGAATGTCTTTAGATGGTGTTTTTAAATTTGAGAACCAAATATCTTCAGTTGTTAAAACCAGTTTTTATCAGCTACGTTTAATTGCCAAAGCAAAATCTTACATTACCCATAAATAGCTTGAAACTCTTATTCATGCCTTCATCACCTCTAGACTGGACTCATCTCTTTATATGTTGGTTTGGAACAATCATCTCCATGGTTTGTTAGTCCAGAACTCTGCAGGTCTTTAACAGGTTCTAGAACCCAGGACCACATCCCTCCTGTTTTAGTTGCCTGTTTGCTTTCACGTTGATTTTAAGATTCTTTTTCTCACTTTTAAAGCTTTAAATGGTTTGGCACCCAGTTATTTATCAGATCGTTGCACTTTTATAGCCCAAACAGAGAACTGAGATCCTCTAATCAGATGATTATAGTGCAGCTGAAGGGTAGAGGGGCCTGGGGTTTAGCTGTGGCTGTATTGTCTGTGAAGCTTTTGATCAACAACATTGTTTTTATACATGTCATATAAATAAAGTGATGATGAGGATGATGTTGCAGAGGTAAATGTGTGCTTGTGTGCAGGGGATCTGGACGGCCACGTGGACTCGTGTCAGGGGGACAGCGGGGGTCCTCTGGTCTGTGAGGATGAACTCGGGGTCTCCTACCTGTGGGGGATCGTCAGCTGGGGGGAGAGGTGTGGACAACCAGGATTCCCTGGAGTTTACACACAGGTAAAACTCAAATACACAAAATAAGTACAAGTACACAGTAAATACATGGAGCTGCTGGAATTRAATGAAGTTTTCAGTCCAGGGGGTCCTGGAATATCGTGTGGTATGAGGGTCAAAATTAAACTATTGCTCTACCGACGGTTGCTACATTCTTCTAGCAGGAGGTTATATCTATTCCTAAACCAGCTATAGATCTGATTAATGATAGGCCGGCACCGCTAACTGAGCAGCTGACCCTGCTAACTGAGCAGCTGGCCCTGCTAACTGAGCAGCTGACCCTGCTAACTGAGCAGCTGACCCTGCTAACTGAGCAGCTGACCCTGCTAACTGAGCAGCTGACCCTGCTAACTGAGAGGCCGGTGCTGGCAAATGAGAAGCAGACTATTAATTTGTGTTAGCATCAGAAAGGCTAGCAACTAGCATGAATAAACTGGCATTAGCATTGGTGAGGCTAGAAACTAGCATGGATAAACTGTGTTAGTATTGGAGAGGCTAGCAACTAGCATGCATAAGCTGGCATTAGCATTAGAAAGGCTAGTGACTAGCGTTGATAAACTGTGTTAGCATCTGAGAGGCTAGCAACTAGCATGCATAAGCTGGAATTAGCATCAGAAAGGCTAGCAACTAGCATGAATAAGCTGGCGTTAGCATTGGTGAGGCTAGAAACTAGCATGGATAACGTTGGTTACGTATTGTAACCCCAGATTCTATGAGTGTAAGCGCAGCCCTCTAAGGCTATCGCAGATGGGTACCCCCGTGCGCG